AGTCGCCTTAGATGGTTTGGTCACATAAAACGGCGGCCTTGCGATGACCCGGTTAGGAGAGTAGAGGTACCTAAAAAGACTTGGTTAGAAAATATTAGGAATGACCTTTCTTTATTAGATTTAAATGAGAATTTGACTTTTAATAGGACACAATGGAGAAAAAGGATTCATGTAGCCGACCCCACGTAGTGGGATAAAGGCTTGATGTTGTTGTTGTATGATGTGTGGGAGCATTTCACAACTACATATGCTAAAGTGTGCTAGTTGCACAAAAGTTGCTATTTGACTTTATCTGGAGAAAAAACTCTATAATGTCCACAGCATCTTTCAAAAAACTCTACTATTCCAATGATAGTTTCACAACTAATTTTATAGAAAACTGTAGTCTTCCCAAAGAAGATGTCAAACAATTTTATAAAAAAAAAATTGTACCACTTTAAGAACAAAGGATAATGTAAAGATTGTGGCCATTTTGAGTTATAAAATAAAGTTATAAGAAAGAACAATGGAATATAAACTGAAAAAAAAAAAAAAAACATTTGCTTCAAATAATCAATTTGTTTTCAAGCTAAAATATATAATATGGAAGAACCTTTTATGTGAGATAATTAATCGAAAAGTTCAGAGAACAGAGAAAGATTTAAAAGAACTTCATATGATTTTTATTAATATTAAGATCATATGATCGAACATCACGAGATTTACTTTTGTATGTATTAAAAAAAGATGTATGTTGAATGTATATTGAAGTTATTAAATGCTTTGACTAAAAATCCAAGAAGTTTATAAAGCCTTTAAAAAGTTTTAGTTTCTTTTTTTTTTTTCAAAGAAAATGTATAATTAATGTAAACCATTATAAATAAGAGCTTGGCATCCCTCATCCCATGCTAAATTAGCATGCTACAAACATGGTAAAATTCATAGAAAGCCTTCCAAATTATAGCATAGATCCTAAACATAAGACATAACGAAGGATCTCAAAGGGCCAAAAATACAAACAACTGATCCCTCTACTCTTTGATCCCTCTACCCATTACAGGCTACTGCTAGCAACCATTCTATCAATCTTCAACACTTCAATACAAATTAGGACTGCAGTACGGGAAAAATCAATCTCTTCATGAATTGTTGCATGGTGTGTCAATTGATAGAAAGTTAAATAATGATCAATCTCTCAAAAACAGACAAACTTCCTTGTAAGTGTATTGTCATTGTTGAGAATCTATGGAGGACCACATGCAATAAAGTGTTTTCCCCATGTTTCCAATACAAATCAAAATTTTGAGAAGTTAGGTGTTGAAAAGTAAGGAAATTGGAAAAAAATCGCCAATTGAGGTCTAAAAAAACTAGGCACGACACTACCAAATTAAACAAAAATTTATAGGGAATAAATCACTATTTTTAAAGGCCCACGTTTGAAACGAAATGTCATGGTTCAATGGGGGTCAGCTCTACTTCCTTCTCAAGCAATCGTGCTTTGCAAAATGCGCTTTATGCACGATCAAGTGCTAAGCATGAACGAGAAACGTGCATGAAAAGACCTCACCTTCATCTTCATCACAGAGACCTCACCTTCATCTTCATCACAGACAATCAACTTGTCTTGTAGCAGCAACATCGCCTTTGTCTTCATCATTAGTAATCGAACTCATCCAACAGCAGCAGCAGCACCTGTGTTTGTCCTGCGATCGCAATTGTCTCTTATACTTGTGATGTGCTCAGCTCCATCTTTGACTACATGAAAAAGTTGGGATCTCACTCTCAATCATCCTTGTAACTAGTGTTATGCTAAACTTTGTCTCCAATCACATGAGAAAGAGGTGATCTCTTCTTGTTGTCAGGGACTTGCAGTGATATCGAGTTTGTTCAAGTATAAGACTGATTTTTTGATGATTTCACAGCCTAAATGGAATAATAAGTTTCATTTATTTTGATCATTTTGAGGAAAAATGATTTGTCACAACTAGATGACTAGGAAGACAGTTAATTAGGGCCAACACTCGTTTAATTGACTAGCATAATTAATTAATTTTATGAATAACTCTTTAATAATAATTAGTGCACACCCTTTTCATAAATCACTTTTAATGGTTTTTATAATATATTTTATAAAAAAAATTATAAATTTACGTGGTCTAAGTTAATAAATAAATATTTATCATATTTGCGAATAATATGCATATAAGTCATCAGCACTCTGGTTAATAAAAGTAACACTTAGCATTGTGCTTTCCACTAAGAAGCAAACAAGGAATCCATGTGTATCGCATTGTGCTTTGCGGTTTTAAAACAACGGAATAAATCATCCTCAGTCTTAAATTTCCATCCAGAGCCTAATTTATCCCAAAAGAGTAGATACTAATGCTCAAAGTAATAAGAAACAAAACCACATTTGTTTATTCCTTCTACAAAAGTGCTAGAATCACTGTCGTTTCTAGAGTGCAGTATTGAGACAATGCACATGTAACATGTTAGTAGCGGACAACATATGTCAGTCAAACAAAACCTCTATGATTTGGACAAAAAACTGAGCTTACACTAAATAAGTAAATGGTTTTGATCGGAACAACACATAAGTAGGCCAGTTAGAGGCATGAGAGGTCAAAGCTAAAGAATTTTTAAGAAAATAGCAAATATTTGATTTCTATGATTCCCCTAAAAGACACGGCATGTGTTCTGCAAAGAGTATCTAAAATCTCTTGTGAGTCTACTTTAAACACCCAAGCAGATCCTCATGCAAGAAAATGCATAGAGTTTAGCATTTGCTTTGAATATTATTCAACATGCTTTGAATATCAAGTCAATATCTAGTAGAACTGATATTCATTTATATGGATGGCCAAAAGGAAACTTCAAATTCACATTATTAACATGTAAACTTCTCACTGGTTACGTCAAAACTATGTCATGTCACCGGATAATGAAGAATGGAAACTTACACAGATTTATGGTAACCTCAGCAAGAAAAGGAGCGAAAGATTGCCCGAGATTGAGAAATGATGGGCTTGCACACAGCAAAGGGAGAATCTGCATACAAGAAGGGGAAAATCTGTGAGGAGCAGCAGAAGGAAGAGGATGGTGATAGGAATTACATGAGTTCTCAAGTAATCCTATCGGATATACTTGAGTTTGCAAGCAAACCTAACAAGAATTTGGTAAAAACAGAGAGAAGATACAAGAACGATAATGCAACAACCCAAAAACAGTAGCTTTTATTAAACAACTCAAAGCAAAACAATATATAAGAAAAGATAAAAGTGATCCTCTATTCGAGAGGAGGATCGTTCTCTCCCAATCTCTAGACACTAGGTCTAGAGCCCAAAACTCCCAAGAGACTCCAAGAGAACACAATACTTAAGCATGCCTCTCCCTTCCCCTCTCTTCCCTATTTATAAGCCCTCCCAAGCCCTTGCCGCCTCTCTCTCTCCTTACCAAAAATAGTTTTTTATTTAATTTTCAAATCAAATAGGGCTGTGGGACCCTCAAGCATAGGCTGCAACCCCCTTGGGAGGCAGTTTGAACCGCCTCTTGCAAACAAGGGCCGGGCCTTATGGGGCTGGTTGGGTCGGTTCTTGAACTGACCTATCAAATAGATGATGATTTGGATAACAGACGGGATAAAATAAGGAAAGCATACTTATGATGATGGCGATGATGATAGTGATGGTGACAAAGATGAAAACAATTATTTTCTTTGACGCTGGATAACATTTAAAATGCAATATCACTAAACATAGAAGAGGTTTCAAGAAATGCATTTAATGAAACCTGCATAGAACTTCTCGATGATCTCTAAAGAGAAATTCCTTACATGCTTTAATAAAACAATGATAATTTGGTTTTAGAATAGTTGAACGTTGAATATGCAAAAAATACAGTACTGCAGTATTAATTTGAAATTTTGAAAGCATACCTTGGCTCTTCTATAACATTTGTATGATCATTATTAACTTCAGCATCCTTGTTAGCAGAATCTAAAGCAGCCAATTCCAACTCAGTATTAAGAAACCCTACAAAATCATCACTGCTGCTTGAAGAATGCAAAGGAGACTCTGCCTCCAAACTCATGATTGCATCTAGCAAACACCATCTACTGCAGAAACCACATATTGTAGTAAGAAAAATGAGAATTATATATAAGAGTAAATCATTTTTAGACAATTTGCAATAATAATCTTGTAGTAATAATGTTATAAAATGCAAATAAGAGAGCATAACAGTCAATGCACTAGATTTGGAGAACAAACATTACAACAACAACATCAAGCCTTTGTCCCACTACGTGGGGTCGGCTACATGAATCTTTTTTCTCCATTGTGTCCTGTTAAAAGTCAAATTCTCATTTAAATCTAATAAAGAAAGATCATTTCTAAAATTTTCTAACCAAGTCTTTTTAGGTCTACCTCTAGCTATCTTAACATAAGTCAAATCTAATATCTCAACTTTCCTAACGGGGTCATCGAAAGGCCTCCGTTTAATGTGACCAAACCATCTAAGGCGACTCTCTCTAATCTTATCTTCCTCTGGAGCTACTCCAATCACAATAGATGTGCTTTGCCCGTTAGTCCTTAACATCTTCTTTAGATTAATAGTTACATGAATAAATAATTGCATAAAACATTCATATTGACTAATCTACTATATATATATATATATATATCATTCATATTGACTAATCTACTTCCACATATATATATATATATATATATATATATAGAGAGAGAGAGAGAGAGAGAGAGATAATATTTAGTTTTATTCAAATACATAAACAGCATTAATCTTTGCAATCTCTAATTCAATGTTTAACAAATCGTTACAATTAGGCTGTTATCATTTCAAATATACACAACATAAGATTAAAATTTCATTAACTTTGCTCCTTTAAATTATATTTAAATTACAGCTTCAATATTTCTAGAATTTATTTTATAACATAATTACATAAAGACAAAGCTTTGAAATTTGAATCCAAATTTTTCATAATATTTTCTCAATAATTTTAGTTAACTAATTTATTCTAACTTCATAAATTTTAGGTTTTAGATTTATAGCAATCAACTATTAAAATCTAGAAAACAATACTTATCATTTAATAAAATTTTAACTTTCAGATTTCATCTAACAAAATTCTAAATTTTATGTTTAATGTACGTACCTTCATATCGTTCTCCTTCTTCCTACTTTGCGAAACACCAATCTATCTCCTCCTTCTGATCTGTTCTTCCTCTCCACACCAAAACGTTACAACATTTCTTTGGGAATAGAAGCTAGGTCTAGGGTTTGTCAATTTGGAAAAAAATAAAAATCTAGGTTAACTCCACCTTGTTTCGAGTTTAAGGAAAAGATGAACTTCCAATATCTTAAATCAACCCTTCGCTTGAAATTTGCGCCTACACCTTACTCTGCAGCCAAGCCTTGACGCGCGTGCAGCCGTCCTGTATGAACCCATCTTGTCACCCGCTCTAATGTCCCTCGTTGTTCGCTTTCTTGTTCGCCGCTACTCGCGCGCTCCCGCTGCCGTGCTTCGCTCGATCGCTCCGACTTCCTCGCTCTCCAGGTCGCCCATTAAATTGGTTCTTCGCCCCACTGCTTACGCTTCCTCAGTCGCTTCTCGATCCTTAATAGGGAAACACCAAATTAGTAAATTACCAACTAATTAGTTACCACTAATATTTATTTTTCTTATAATAAAAAATTATATGAAATCCTTTTTTTGGTATATTTTCTTTTAATATATAATTCATAATTTTAACTATTTTGTATTTAACTGCATAATTAAATTTGAGAAACATTTCTTAATAAATTTTCATTAACTATTATTATTTATCAATATTATTATTATTATTATATTTTGTTTGCAATTTTTAAGTTATTACACTAAACCCTTCCACTTGATAGGAAAAGTTGATTTTATTTCTAGGTCAAGATATTATAGAGACTATTTGGGACTATTGTCTTACTATTTTTCAAAATAATTTTAGTACAAAAATTTTGTAAAAATAGAAAATAATAATAGTAATCATAATAATTATCTCAAATAGGTGAGGCATGGGGGATCACAATGGAGAAATCATCATAAAGCTAGTTGATTGTTGAGGAAGTCGGCAAGCAGTGGCAAAGAAAGAAACTTTACGTAGATGGGGCCAAGACTTTTTTTTTTTAAATCCCTAAAACATGTAAAACGACAACAACGAACAATAAAAAAATTCACAGTATGTTTCCAAGTGAATCAAAATGGTGATAAATTGATAATAATAGGTCTTAAAAAGCAAAGCAAAAATAAATTATGAGTATGAATCAATACATTAAAAATAATTAGATTCAGATGCATTAATCAAACAACCTTTTCACAATCTGAACTAAGCACGACAACAGCAATCAGCAAATGAAATCACAATCTGAACTCAGCATGACTTTGTACAGTATTAAAGGAAGCTAAGCACGACAACAGCAAACGAAATCCCAATATGAAAACAACAAATGAAATCCTAAATTGAAATGAAATCTTACATAAAAACTAAAAACATCAAATGAAATCCTTGCAAATGATAACTTATATAGAAAACTAAAACGAAATCACAAGAGATTTTGATAGCTTCTCACCTTCTGGACTTCAAGTGAGAACGTCCGGATCGAAGACGGAAGAAGGGAATGATTATGCGAATTCACGACTACGAGTTGCTAGACGCACCATTTCGAGATGATCCCCCCTGAGAGTGAAATCCAAATACAAGGCTGCCGACCCGATTGGACGCACTAGTGGAGCCGTGGAGGCCTGAGACAGGCAACGAGACGAGAACTTCCTGTGTCGTGCGACTCGCGAGAGCTTCTTAGACCTATGACTGTCACTTGACCAAACATTGTATGACCGTCATCTGCTAATTACCGTCATTTGATCACATCACTTGACTGTCATCATCTGATCACCATCAACAATTATAATTTCACTACTATCTTCTTATTATCGTTGTCCAACTATCATCATATAATTGTTGTCACCCAACTAATATCGTTTGATACAATCTTCTCCATTTGAGAGGAGAATATCCTCTTATACTTCAGTTACATAGTGGATCATTGCATATGGGCTAGGTTTCAAGATTTTTTTTCTTTCCAAGTTTTTCCCATAAAAACTCAATGCTTCCTACTTTTTTTTATTCTATTATGTATGTGCAAGAATTTCATGCAAAACTATGATTCAAAGCTCTTATTTTACCAGCCAAATTTTTCTAAAGTACTGAACCATCATAAATATAAAGCTTAATGCTTCTTCATAAGGACTCACAGATTCTCTTAATTGAATTGATTTATAAAAGACCTGATTGAGCATTTAGAATAGAGAAATGTGAGTCAAAAGTTAATTACAATGATAAATCATAGAAAGAAATCGATCTGAATTTCATAGAGAATTCAAAAGACTTCAATTTGACATATTTTCTACACAAACTGTAAAATAAAATTAGATAGCATAAAATTGACTACATAATATGAATTTAATGAAAATATATGAGTTGAACTTGGTGTTCCTAGTTATGTAGAGGACAAATCTACCTTATAGTTGGCCTCCAATTAGGAAATCTCAAGTGAATTTCAAATTGGGGGCGGTTACTCTTTACAATTTTATCTTGAATGAATCTTAAGCTTCGTTTGGGACGGTTTTCTGACTGTTTCTTAAAGCAATTTTTTAATGCAATTGAACTAGAAAGCAGCCTTAAGAAGCAATAAATAAAATAGGCTTCTCAGGCTTCGTTTGGGACAGTTTTTTTACTGTTTCTTAAAGCAGCTTTCTAGTATAAAAATTAAAATTTTAATACTATAAAACTATTTTAAGAAGCAGTAAGAAAGCTGTTCCAAACGAAACCTTAGTCATCTAAACTAACGAGTACTCAGGCAAGACAAATATTTAGATTCCTTTGATGGGTTTAACAGGTTATCATTGAGCGAGTTGGAGCAAATTATTGGACAACTTGATAAGATAAGGCTCAAGGCAAATTGCCATAGAATTATGTTACCATTCAGCACGACTTTCAAAGCTTTCTCACTATGAACTATCACCGTCAGTCTGCCTGCCCCCTTGCCATGGGGGCTCTGTAACATCCTCATGGCCTAACTTCAAAAATACAACATCCATATCTCCTTTCAAATGTTTGTTGACATTACCGTTCACATTTTTTTTTTCTTCGAGGTTCTGTTTGGAATAATTTTCTTATTATTTTTTAAAGTAAAATTTTAGTATAAAAATTATTTAAAAGCAATAAATACAACAGCTCTGCAAATACTATCAGTTTCAACAATGAAAAATAGATAGTAATAGGAGTGTAAACAAGATGAGTCAAATCAAATTTTGATACAATCGAACTCAGCTCATTAGTCTGAAAGAGAGCTCAAGTTTGACTAGTTCCATTGTAAACGAGTTCGAGCCACTCATCCACGTCATCCACATATTTGTCGTCCCGCCATCCCACCATCCCGCGTTGTCCTGTCCATTGATGCGTCGACCGAGTCAAATTCGCCGGTCCACTTAAACATCGTCCTGTCATCCGAGCTCGAGCCGCACGACTAACGCGGCCTCCTCGAGCCACGCAAGTGCCTCAAGGCTTGAGCAGTCTATCTCGAATAGGCCTGATTAGGTTGATATTACGTTGTTATTACACAGGATTAGGCTGGTATTAGGCATGTATTTTAAAAATAAGAATTATTTTAAGAATTTGAGCTCGAGCTCGACTCGTGAGCTTGATAAGCTCGGCTCGCGAGCTCATAAACGAGTCGAGCTCTAGCTAGCTCGCTTGCCGGCTCGGCTCACTTAAACCCCTAGATAGTAGCATTGCAAAAAATTATAACATTCATGAACTTCACAAAATGGGAAGGCTTAAAGTCTTTATTTCATTGGGAAAAAAAATGCAGGTACAAGGTTCAAACCATTACAAAAAATAAAGCCCATACAAAATCTTTATACCAATTACCAACCCCTGAACTAAAAAAATGGACCAGCAGAAATACATGTTCCTTTGTCACCCTACGTAATGTCTAACAGTAATATAAGCCTTGTAACATACATACAAATTCCACCTCCCCTGAACTCTCATTTTGCATTACCCGATTACACAAAAAGAATTAATGCAAATTTTGCTTATTCATTATATGTAAAACTGGCTGGGTCTCAAGACAATAGGGATAAAACGGAATGAATCAAAACAACACTATAAAAATTGGGCAAATTATTAGGTCCGGACACCGGACAAAGATGATCATCTGGATTTCTCCCTGTCTACAGTAAAAATACAATAAAAGCACAGTTGTTATAATAACTGCGCTTTTACTGTAGACAGAGAGAAATCCGAATGATGCTCTATGTCCGGTGTCCGAACCTAATAATTTCTCCAAAATTTGAGGCCTGCAAAAAGTTTCATCAAACCCACAGGCGGCGGGCGGGGCAATGGTGCATAAATAAGGCTCATGACTGAACAGCCAGCCTCTGGAGATGCTCGCAGAAAACTTGAAGGCTCGCATCATCAGTAAAGATAATATCCGAGCCCGGAGCCACCTCATGGGCTGAGTTATATGTGGCCGATGGGTTCAGCTTGGCTAAGAGAAATCTTGCCTGCAGACAAAAGAACGATTAGGATGATCTTATTATAGTCGAGTTGGTTCTAACTTGTCATCTAAATATTTATATATGATGAAAATATAAGTAAGCTATAACAGAACTAAGATGCTAGTTGGAAACAAGTAGCAATCTTTAAGAAAAAGGGTAATTCTTTCTTCTTTTTTTCCTTCATTAATAGTGGGGCTTATTGGAGTAACAAAGAAACCAAAATAAAAGAAAATCTATAACAATAAGATCCATATTCCATTGAAACAGTCGAACCTGGGAGCCATGCTGATCACAAACAACTAATCTTGGGGCTGGGAATCTATCTCTGATTATCATTTGGGCATCATCATGCGGAGCTTGCAAAAGAAGAGAGAAAGCCTGAAAGAAAAACACACAGAAACCCTTACATAAAGAGAGAGAGAGAGAGACAGAGAGAGAGAGAGAGGAAAAAGATTAAAAAAAAAAACGATTTTGCATTGGGCATTGTTTGGCAATTTTCTTTAGCTGCTATAATCAATGTAAACCTGTTATATCATAATTTGTAATTTGAGGGAAAACATATTACGAAAGCACGTGCAACTCAGTGTTTTAAGATTCGGGCAAAACACATATAACGTATGTAATTTGAGAGAAAATATATTACAAAAGCACTGTTGACGTGCAACTGCAACTCGTTGTTTTAAGACTCACTGTTGGTGTGGGCGGTGGTAACTTTATTTCGTACAAAAATATAAAAAAACATCACAATATTACTAAAATGAATAATTAGGTATATCTAGATTTTGTTTGAGACAAATTTTCTCAATGTTTTGCTTTTTAAATCGTTTCCATACATCTATTTAGTTGCTATTTTTTAATATATATATATATATATATAGTGAGAAGCTACTTCTAAGAATCAAATTTGCTAGAATAAGGTATCTATAAAAAAAGCTATTGGCATACTCACTAATTTCAAAAAACTTAATTTTTTTATAATGAATTTATAATTTCCTTTATAAAAATTATAGCTGTCCCAAATAAACTTAGAGTTAATTATAACACATTTGGTAAATTTCTTGTGAACTTCCCTAATGAATACGCATCAGGAAGTCTATGTTTCCAACAAAAGTTAGAGAGAAATATGAAAATAAGTTCCTCATTTCCTACATGAGTTACAACCAAGATCCACAGTATCTGAGAACCCAAGTAAAATATCAAAATTTTCTTCAAACAAGAACGTTTTATTAAAGTTACTAATTTAAGTTTTCTTTTATCATTTAACTTTTGCACTTGGGACAAGGATGCTCCTACTCACCATGAAAGTTTTATTTGCTTCGTTGGCACTTGGGACAAGGATGCTCCTATTCACCATGAAATAGTTACATCTTGTGCCTTTCATTTCCCCTAATCTAATTCTAGACAAGCCACCAACTAATTGAAGCTCACAATTCAATACTTAGGATCAACTTAGTCCTTTTGTTTCAGATGTACTAATCAATTATGAAATTTATCTTAGATTTTATTTGGAACAGTTTTCAACTGTTTTCGTGGTGAGAAAAGCAAATAGTAAAAAAATAAAATATTCCAAAGACAAATTTTACAGAGTTATTTCAAAATTTTATTTTAAAAATTTATTTTTGAAAACATATGTTTAAAACTGTAATAGAAAAATAAACTTTAAGCATAAATGAAAAAGTTTAAATTGTTCCAAAAAAAATCATAATTGTGTTAAAGAACTCGAGTTATTTCTAATGAAAATGAATTCAATACAAAATCAAAGTTTATGCTGACATTATGATGGAGACATCAGCAGCGATTTTGACACATGTACCTCCAGGAGATGCCGGAGATCGACGGCCACGATTATGATCTGTATTTTCATCATTTTATGTAGTAATTTATTTTTATTTTATGTTTTTCCGTTTTTTGCCCTTATGGGTATTTGGTAGCTATTGTAGCCCAAGGGGCATTTTAGTATTTTCCTTTCTTTGTCATTTTGAGGCCTATTTATATGGCCATTTTCTCATGTAATAGTTAGTTTTTGATGAATGAAAATTTGATATTTCATGTTCTCTTTGTGAGTGCAAGCCTCCACGATCTCTTAGTGAGTTCATAGGAGAAGCTAGATCTCTTTGTGAGTTCTAGGTTTTCTTGTTCTACTAATTTTCGTTCTTTATTTCTCGTGTTCGATTCGTCGTCGTGGAGATTGGATTGAAGCAATTGTGGAGAGTGGAATGGGAGGAGATGCATGAGGTTTGAATCCCCTTTGAATTACTCCAAGCTTTCTCCCCAATTCTCTGGCCGCCGCCTTCCTCTTCCCCAAGCCCCTTGCCGCCAGCCACCTTGGGCCGCCCAGGCTGCCGGCCACCACCACCTGAAAATTTGTCCAAGCCGCCGGCCCCTCTTCCCCAATTTTCCTTCCCCACCACTCCACCCGCCGGCCCCTCTTAGAGTTTTGAATTTGAAATTCAAAACTCTCGTGAAGCTTTGATACTTTCCTAATTTAGCTCCTTAATTTGAGGTCTCCAAATTAATTAGATTTCAATTTGAATTTGAATTCAAATTGGTCTTAATTAATACCTTCTTATTAGGAAACTTCCCTAGCTTAAAAACCTGAAATATATTTCAGATTTTTTATTTAAAGCTTTGTTAGCCAAGTGGTCCCCACCCACTTAAGTTAAACATTTTCTCCCTCTCTATACTTGGCCAGCCTTCCCCTTATTGTTTTCTATTTAATTGCCACATCACCACCTTTTAAATGCCTCCTCTCACATAATTAATTCCAGATTTCTTCAGTTTTAATTTTCAGATTTCAAAATCTGAAAACTGAAATGGCTTTCCTCTCTCCTCAGTTAGTTCCCTCATCCCACTCTCACGGCTTTCCTGCATACCTAGGCTATTGATGTTATTTCCTAATACTAGAGCTGAGAATTAGGAAATATGAGCCCGTGGCTCTTTGCTGGAAATTCTTCTAAAAGCCTTTCACTCCCTCTCAATCCAGTGAGCTCCTCTCCCACCCGTCTCCCTCCTCTTTATTTCTTTCCTTTTTTTGATTTCCAATCATCTCCCCAAATCAATTCACTGAATTTTAGGGAATTGAAGTCCTGAATTGAATTCCAGTCAATTCCCTATTCTTCTCTACAGCCCACCACTCTTCCAAAGCCCCTTCCCATCCTGAAATCTTCCTCACGGGATGGCTGTCCAGAAGTTTTGAAAATTGGTAGACTGCAATCCACTGATTTCTGCACCTTTCTACCGGCTGGTCAGCCCCCAAACTCAACCCCCTTGCTGTCCAGACTTTACTGGACATCATTGGATTGCTGTCCAGAATTCCATACTCCGGCCACCTATCCAAGAACGATGATCTTAGGTTTCTTCTTCCTCAGAGTGACCTCGGTTCTAATGTGGAGACTCTTCTTCCGCTAAAGCCTAGACTAGTTGAGCGTATGGACTCCAAATTTGAAAATTCTCATTATTAAATCGTGGACTCTTATTTATCGTCGTAGTTTTACAATTATTCTTTGTGTTTTCTTGAATTGTTTGGTTGATTGATTTCGCTCTTCTTTGCCTAAGCAAGTTAAAATTGAGAACTACAAGGATCAATCTTTGCTATAAGTGATAATTTTATTTTGGATTATTTTGCTAAAATTGCTCTCTTTAATTTCTTAAAGTAACTCCATCGCATGTTTGTTTCACATCACATTATCATCGAGGAGAAATGCAAAGGAATGATAATTTTCTGCAAGAAGCCAAATAAAGTTTATGCATTCCACCATCTTTAACTTGTCCGAACAAGAAATAAAAAATAAATTACAATTTAAGATGCATTACAATCAAAATTATACTTCAAACTTGTCCACAAACAGAACATTCAGGAGAAATAATTCAAACATGTAAATATTTCATATAATTGTGTTTGAGTTCTGAATCATAGGGGTATATTTAGTGTTTAAGGTTGATTTCTTTGAAGGTCACAGAAAAATTAGATGTTTCTCATATTATGACACAATTAACTTAATGAAAGAACCGACCGAAACTTCAGGATATTAATAGTTCTAAAACAAGTGAGATAGTGTTGCATCTCAAAACTTCATGTAGTTCAGCTAGAAAAAGATGAAAAGGCTTGAGCTTCAAAAAAATTGAGGGAATGCCAAAGAAGCTCCATAAAAAATTAATTACTAAACTAAAAAAAAAGATGCATATAAAGAATGAATTACATCTTATTACAATAAAATTGCAATTGACACTTTAATACCTGATGTTCTGGCTGGTTTTGGTAGCCCATGTTGCGCCACTGAGCAATTGTCGTACCATGAAAAATAACTACACTGAAATATGCATCCAGTAAGAGTATGCGGTCAGCTGCTATAGATGCTACATCCAACAAAGCAGGTGAAGGCGGTGCAGCAAAAGAGTATGATATCAGTGAAGGCTGAATCATAACAACAGAGTTTGTGATGCTTTCTCGATTCAACAAAATGCGGAAATATGCGGTCTCATCAGGGCTATTATTAAAAACCTGAAACATACAACATCTAAATGTTTAATATGGGAAAGCTGGGGTTAAGAAATAATAAATAATAAATAAATCAAATGTCTCACCTGTACAAACTGTGACCGTCTCAAATTAAACATGAACTGAGGAAATATTGAAAAATTAGGATTTATAATAAATGAACTAGGTTCATCTTTCCGATAGTCACCAAAACGTGAGCAAAGGCGGATGAGTGTTCTATCCAACCATCGGGTTGCATCGAATTCTTCCTGAAAACAGAAGAAGAAACACTTTGCCACAATGAGAAATACTTTTCCAATAAAAACCATTGACAATATCTTTAAGTATGAAAAAAACTAAAAGTAGTTCTGTAATTGTAAAAAAAAATGAAAGAAAATACCAGCTGAGCAATGTGCCATTATTGGGGAATATATTAAAGAGTGCAACAAGATTTTTAAATTGATTTGTAAATGAAATTAAACCTCCATGCTTCTGATATGTCATTATAGTCATTATCAAGAACATTAGCCATGACAAAATTTTGGGTCCCCATTATGAATCTCATCATTATTCTTGAGTATTACATATGCATTTAAAACCAATCTAAACAAACCTATATGTACAATTTATAGCATTATCAGTATACATCACAATGAACGCAGCTATAATCTTGTGCAGCAAAAAACTGACCTCCATCTCCATCTTAAATGACACGTATCTAGCCAATACAACAGCAGCAGTTTCTTGGTCGAACCCATCAACCAGTTCCTGGAGGATCAGTGATTTATGATATCAGCCAAATAAATCAATAAATATGCAACAATTATTGATCAAATAATAAATAAATTGTCACAAAAACCATGAAATTCCTACAGTTAAATATTTACATAACTCAACTAACATATTAGCAGTTAAAGTTAATGCATTGGTTATACATACTTATAGGATCAATTGACCTTAGTAACTCAGTGTTGACTGTCATAGGAAGCTTCATGACGATCTATAAGGTAAACCCATGAACAAATGCATTAACTAAAAAAAGCTAAAAGAAAATGAAATAAAAGGACCTAAAAAGAGAAAATGAAATAAAAGGACCTAAAAGAAGCATATAACTAGACATGAAGTTGTCAAGCAAGCAAACCCAAGCCACAAAGTTCTTAAAAATACTTAATAATATAAAAAAATGTCATGTTTTACAAGAACTGAAAGTACATTTTGTGATCCCAACATTGGAAAGAAAAAACCAACACACGTGAAATTTGATAATATCAACCTACAATGAAGGCTAAAATTGAAGTTTACATAATGCTGGGCACAATAATTCCTAGTCATAATTGCATACTTCCAGTCACATGTAACTAAGAAGGCATGATGTTCTGATCATAAAGAAGCAGAAAGACAAACGCGCTAGCGTCAAATAGAAAAAGGGAAAAAAAAGGCCATTCAAAGAATCCAATGCATTTTTTTCAAAAAAAAAAATTAGTACATTCAAAATCAAGGAATGGGAATAGAATACACGGAATGCAGTGAAGATTTATTACAATGAGAGTGAACCATATTCACTGAAGGGTTGAAAAGCTAGGCAGCATGCGGATCAAAACCGTTGGCATTAGCCTTAGTAGCAACTTCAATATCCAAGGAAAAAAATGATTGATTTTTTTTTGGTGAAGCAACAACAACAAGGCTTTATCCCACTAAGTTGAGTCAACTACATGAATCATTTTTTTACCATTGTGTCCTATTAAGATGCAGATATTTGAAGAGGATGATGCACATAGGTGGGTATACCTGGTGGAGATAGATGCATCAGGATACGGCCTAGGGGCAATACTCATACAAGATCATCGGCTCATTGCTTATTTCAGCTAGGTGCTCAGTGCTCACAACCATGAAGAGGCTCAAGTTTGTATACGAGCGGGAGTTGACGGCAATTATCTTAGTCATCCAAAGTGGCAACCATATTTGTTGGGGTGATACTTTATTGTCTGAACAAACCAGAGTCTGAAGTTTTCTGTTGGAGCTGAGGATGATGACTAAGGAGCATTAGAGGTAGTTATCCAAATTACTTGGATATGATCACCTAGGACTAGACAGTTCTCATCCTTCCACCTTGAGGACAAGGTGACACTTTGGGAGGGAAGTATTGATGAATTGACCAATTTGATTGGGAGGAAATTAGAAAGTTGCCTAATAAAGAGAGAGTTATTTAGGAAGATTCTTAATCAAAGGGGAATTGTTTATGAAATTTTTAATTTTAATTGGGAAGAAATTATTTATGGCAAGAGATCTTATTTGAATTCAAAATCTAAGGGTAAATTATTTAGGGAAAGGTAGAAGGAATCAAATGGAAATTATTTAGCAATGTTTTAATTATAATTAGGAGGGAATTAATTAGGAAAATATATCTAATTTGAATTCAAATATTATAAAGAATTATTTAGAGAAAGGGGGCTGATTTGGGAGGAAATTAGGGGAGCCTATTTAAGGCTAACAATGTTGTATTTTGGGTATTATGTGATTTGTGTTTGTTGTACTCTTTTTCTGAGGGCTCTAGACGCCAGCTAAGGATTTGGAAGAGTTGGATCTTCCTCTTCAATTGAAGATCCAATTGTATCTTGCTTTTTCTTTCATTTATCTTTCAATAAAAAGTTCTTGTGTTATTCTTCCTAGTTTTCTCAATACCTACATCCACTTCCTATCAATATACTTCTAGGTCCTCCATTGCAATTTGATAGAAAAATTTTGCATGATGATTTTTCTAATAAATATTCATTTATGCTTAACCAACGACCTATTACTCTTGGCCATTACCACCTCAACAAGTTGCAAAGGATCAATTGAAGCTAAAGCAAGAACATAATAGCAAAACGAGGGAATTCACTTCAGGATTAAAACAAAAGCAAGAAGAAAAATCATGCATTCTTGCCAATAAAAGTGAAATCAAACAAGCCATACAGCTTAGACAACCCCTCATATCACTTATGTATAAAGAAAATTATTTGAGCACTAAAGACTTGGTTGGAATCCTTCAGAGCAGCATTATTTCTCTTTTGCAAGATTATGAAGATGTGTTCCCAGAAGAGACATCTTCCGGCCTACCATCAATTCGAGGAATTGAGCACCAAATTGACTTTGTACCTGAAGCCACTCTTCCCAACCGACTTGCTTATAGAAGCAACACAAGGAAACCAAGGAGCTTCAACAACAGGTCAGTGAGCTAATGGAAAAAGGTTTGGTGAAGGAGAGCACGAGCCCATGCGTTGTTCTAGTATTACTTGTGCCCAAAAAGGATAGGACGTAGAGGAATGCCGAGGCATCAATAATATCACGGTGAAGTATCGCTGCCCTATTCCCCGTTTAGATGATATGTTAGAAGAATTATATAATGCATGCTTATTTTCCAAAATTGACTTAAAAAGTGGGTATCATCAAATTTGTATGAAAGAAGGTGATGAATGAAAAATAGCATTCAAATCAAAACAAGGTTTATAAGAATGGCTAGTGATGCCTTTTGGCTTAACTAATGCACCTAGAACTTTTATGCAATTAATGAATCATGTTTTGCGAGCTTATATTGAAACTTTGTTTTGTTGTTTACTTTAATGATATACTCATCTAAAGTAAAAACTTGAATGAACATTTTACACACCTACAATTAGTATCGGAAGTGCTTAGGAAGGAACAATTATATGCTAATTTAAAAAAATGTTCATTTTGCATCACCAATAGAATTGTGTTCCTTTGATATGTTGTTAGCTCTCATGGCATATAGGTGGATGAGAAAAAGGTACAAGCCATCCAAGAGTGGCCAAGACCAACCAACATAAATGAAGTGCGAAGCTTTCATGGGCTTGCTAGTTTTTATAAAAGATTTGTGAAAGATTTCAGCACCTTGGCCACCCCACTCACTGTAGTTATCGAAAAGAATGTTGAATTTAAATGGGGTGAAAAACAGGAAAAATCTTTTTCACTTATTAAACAAAAACTAACCCATGTTATCTCTAGCTAACTTTAAAAAAAATATTTGAAATTGAATGTGATACTTCAGGAATAGGTATTGGAGCTTTACTTATGTAGGAAGGGAGACCAATTGCTACTTTAGTGAAAAGCTAAATGGTGCCACCCTAAATTACACCACATATGACAAAGAATTGTATGCCTTGGTTAGATCCTTGAAGACATGGCAACACTCTCTATGGTTCGAGTCTGCGATACACACTAATCATGAGTCACTCAAACATCTCAAGGGCCAACAAAAATTGAACAAAAGACACGCTCAATGGATGAAATTCATTGAGAACTTCCCATATATCATCCGATACAAGTAAGGTAAGACAAATGTGGTAGCCTACGCTCTCTCTTGCAAGTATACTCTATTCACTACTCTTGATTCTAAATTACTTTGATTTGAATATATAAAGAAATTATGTACTGAAGACCTAGACTTTTGTGAAGAATTTCAAGCATGTAAGCATAATTCATTAGGTAAATTTTGCAATCTTGATGGATTTTTATTTCGAGAAAATAAGTTGTGTTCCAATTTGCTCTCTAAGGGAATTATTGGTTAAAGAATCACATGGTAGTGAGTTAATCTGTTAATGGGACGCTTTGGGGTAGCCAAAACTTTGGCTATTCTACAAGAACATTTTGTTTTTTTTGCCACATATGAAAAGAGATGTAGAACCTATTTGGGTTAGGTGCGTTCCTTGCAAATAAGCCAAAAATAGAGTGCAACCCCATGGGTTATATATACCATTACCTATTCCTAAAGAACCATGGGTAGATATACCAATGGCCTTTGTATTAGGTTTACCCCGTACAAAAAATGGGAAAGATTCAATAATTGTAATAGTTGATAGATTTTCTAAAATGATGCATTTTATTCCCTGTCATAAATTTTATAATGCTTTAAACATTGTCAATTTGTTCTTTAGAGAAGTGGTGAGATTATATGGAATACCTAGGATTATTGTGTCGGATAGAGATGTCAAATTCCTTAGGTCATCCATCAACTAATGGTCAAACTGAAGTTATGAATGGAATTTTATCTACCTTGCTAAGAGCTATTGTTAGAAAGAATATTAAAACTTGGAAATAATGCTTGCCACATGTTGAGTTTACTTATAATCGTACTGTTCATTTTGCTACTAAGTTTTCACCAGAAATTGTGTATGGCTTTAATCCTTTAACTCCATTAGATTTATCTCCTTTGCCCGGACATTTTAATTTAGATGGTGAAACGAAAGTAGATTTTGTAAAGCGTATTCATGAGAAGGCAAGGATTAATGTGGAGCAACCAACCAAACAATATGCTAAGCAAGTCAACAAAGGTCGTACCAAGTTACCAAGTTACTCTTGGAACCGGGAGATTGGATTTGGTTACATAAAAGAAAGGAAAGCTTCCAAATCAAAGAAGATCAAAACTACTTGCAAGAGGAGATGGGTCATTTCAAGTGTTAGAGCGCATCAATGACAACGCCTACAAGCTTGACTTGAAAGGTGAGCCGTTTTGATGCAGATTATGATTTGAAGACAAATCCTTCTCAAGAGGAAGGGAATGATATATATCAAGCTAATGGTCAAGGAAGTCCTATTCAAATTACTATTGGTGATCCTACATGCGCGCCAAGTCACAAAGGCGGAAAAGAAATTAGTGGGCTATTTACCCGACTTTGGGCCCACGAAGACCTAAAGAGGCATGATAATGAGAACCTGATAGGATCATTAATAACCTTCTCCAAGTAGTTGATTAGTTGCTTTAATAGAATTATTTTTGTATTATTACTGAATTTAAAAAATGGAGGGGCTTTTATGTAGAATCTATAAAATATGCCTATTTAAAGGCCATAGGAATAAGAAAGAAGACAGATTTTGGTGGATCAAATTAGTGAATTGATTTCTCTAAGTGTTGCTGCCCATTGGGCTTGTCTTGGAGTCTCCAAAAATCCTTCTCTTCCTTCCAGGTCTCAACAGAGTCCTCATATCCTTTCCAATTCTGTCGTCAGCCCTCAGGTGTTGCCTTGGAGATTCCAAAAACCGCAGCCCTACTCCCTCCAGCCATCCAGCCTCCGGCTCTCCAAGATCTTCTGCCGCCAGAACCAGACCATCAAGAACCGGTTCTACCCTCCATCCCACCAGGTGTTGCCGCCTTTTAGCTTCCACCTGCTACTCCAACCGTGGGTTCTTCAAGATTTGGCTCCCACTAACCAGCCAAGCTTCTGGGCTTCCATCTTCCCCTATTCCCTTGTTGTCCACCACTAGTGGCTCAACCTCCCTAAACCTTCACAGCCTTCAAGACCTCTCAGAATTTCAGCATTCAGTAAAACAACAGCATTCAGAATTCTGCCAACAACAGATCTCAGAATTCTTTCAGTTCTCTGATCTTGCAATCCTCCCGCAGCCTCCACAGTTTTCAAGACCTCTCAGAATTCAGAATTCTGCAACGTCAGAATTCCAGAATTCTTTCGGTTTTCTGTTCTTGCTTCAAGAACTCTTCCGCTCTCAGTTAAACCCCACAAACCTAAGGAAACTTCGGATCAGAGGTTTTTTGTTTTAAGCCAGGTTCTTCATTTGCCCTATAAACTACCGGGTAAGATCGTATCACCATGTCACTGTGGTATATACTTTGATCTATTACTAACATGTCAAATAAGTGGCATTTCGTGATAATATCTCTGAATATGTTACTACCAAATACACAAAATAAGAAATTAGATCTGAGGAATATGCCCTACATACAATATATCTGGACTCCTAAAATGCATACTGCCAGTTTAAGTGGAAAAATAAATTATTTCGATCAAAATGTATAGGCTATCAACAGATTTTCAATCATAACGAGTTTCACTTCTAACTACCATTTTCATAAAAGGTGTGCGTAAAGAAAAAGCATTTGAAAAATAAAACAAAATATCGACTAAAAGGCCAAAAGAAGATGCTTAATAATTTGAAAACTAACCGCTGTATTTGTAGATCCTTCTACCCATCTTCTAGTGATGGTTGTAACCCGTAGCCTAATTTGACCTTCAGAATTCTGATAGCTGCAGATGTAAAAGGAAAAAAAAGTTTTACATAACACTATCTAGCAAGCTAAGCAAGAGTTACAGTGATGTAATAAGGCAATGACGGTAAATATAGTCCTTACTTTGTTAAGAACTGTATATACAATTGAGGATTTGGGATTCCTGATTGGCTTGATCGCTCACTTGGTGATATGTCAAAAAAGACAGTCAAACAAGTACTCCTATCAAGACCACATATTTTCCATACAGTTGTATTTCCTTGACCAATCACCGTATCTGAACAAAAGGCACCTTTCTGTAAAGGATATAGTAGAAAGCATAAATTTTATTCAAACTCTGGCATACAATTTTGTGCATTTTGCTTATAATGGTTAATGTACTAAAAATGCTACCTTCTCCAAAGATGTGCAAGGTCCAATTATGCCCTGAATTTTAATTTCTTTTGAACAGTTGATCTCATGTGTCCCGCTGACATGGAAAAAACAAATGGGAATGAGAACATATCAATCAAGTTATATATAATCCTTCTATCAAGTACAAATGCAAGAATAAATGATCTTATTAATGCAGTATGCAATACATAAGTATTATTAACATCCTCAGTCCTCACGGTATAATTCATACTAAAGTTTGGCCTCCATGATGTGAAAAAAGAACATAACAACTTGTATGGATAAATTTGATATGCCAGTTCACACTTAACTGGCCCAGCCGGCCCTTGGGCCGGCTCAGCTCGTGTACAGGAGGCAGAAACAATCCGCCTCCTCTAGTTCGTTCCGCCCAAAGGGGTGGGGCCCCACTTGTCCAAGCGATTTCAAATTGCAAAGAAGTGGGCGACTAGGGCTTGGGAGGGAAATTAAATTAGGAAAACTTTTGTATCAAAGAGGATGGGAGGATTAGGGAAAATTATGTTAGATTTGATTGGAATTAGGGTTTCATGGCGACTTGGGCTCCTTGATGGAGAATAATTAAGGAGAATGGTTTAGATACTTAGCTCAATAATAACGTAGTTGGGCTTCTTGATGGCTATCTTCATATATTTGTTTCTCTTGCAAAATGCTCTCAGATTTATATGGGATTCCTCCTTGACGTTGGCTGAATTTAAATGTGAATGCTCACTATTTTCTCCTTTGAGTGTGCCTGATATGGGAGAGAAAAGTAGTCACTTGGAGAAGAAATGAAGTGGAAGAGGAAAGGGGAAAGTAGGGCTGCAAACAAACCGAGCCGAGCTGAGTATGTGAGTGTTCATGTTTGAGTTTGTTTATCATTAGCTTGTTCAAGTTCGGTTCGTGTTTGATTCGAGCTTTATTGTTTGTGTTCATGTTTGGTTCATTTAATTTAAAGGTGTTCAAGTTTGGTTCATGTTCAGTTCATGCTCGGTTCGTTTAATGCTTATCGATCTTTAAACAAACAAGCCTTAACGAGCTATATTCGTGAACATATTTAACAAACAATCTATTGAACAAACAAACATTAATTTTTTTTTAATATTTATTATTATTATTATATAATGTGGGCTCCGAAAATTCGGCCCCGGCCTCCGCCCGTTGTTACTTTCTTTCTTCGGGGGAGTTTTAACGTATTAAGTTTCGGGGTAAATTTTGGGAAGGCATATGGGTTTGTAGATAAGACACTACCCAGAGATTTCGCCCTCATTTTGTGAGGACTTTATGATATGAGTTCTGGTTTCCTATAGGCACAAGCCCCTATAGTTAATTACCCCTCCCAATCATGAGAGAGAACTTTCGATTAAGGCTAGTCGTCAATCAGATACGTAGAGATACGTGTTATCTGGCATATAGTAACAACAATGGGCATGGAATTGAAAATTAGAGGATTTTATATTTAAAATTGAAAATTTCACCATCTTGCACTTAAAGTAGATGGTGGGGAATAGATGATAGACCCTATCAAGATCTCATGGTTATGTCGTCCTGGGCCATCGTGATCCCTGATCTATTTAGTCAGAGGAGGTAGTCGACCCAACCTGACAAAAGGATCCTTATCGGCAGCCACGAGTTGCTTCGTCCAAGGGTACCTTGTAGACCTAGGATGGATATTTGCCTAAGGGGACAAATTTGAATCCACCTTAGCTAACAGAGGCCTTTGTGAACTATCGATTATATCCTATTGATTCATATCTCAAGAATTTGATGCCACTAAAGAGTGTATTGGCTTTGGCCATAATCGATATTTCTTGGTGTTATTTGGCGAGAAAATAACTCGGTTCAGAAGGCCCTAGGTCATAACCGTTTATCCTGCAGTGCCATTTGACGGCAAAACAGCCGGTCAGAGGACACGTACCACGTCCTTATTGGCAGGAGATTATTTAAGAATGGATCCTAGTGATATTTTTTACTAGGCATTAGCTCTATGTGAGCTAAAGTAAATTTTAATTTGACCACCTAAACAAACTGTTGTGGAGGGTGGATGGATTTTGCTTTAAGCGTTAGAATGGTTTGATTTTCAGTTTTAAATATCTGGAATTGGATGATTTTTCTTGGAGTTTGGATTTTGGGGACATTTGTAATGAAATTTTAAATATTTGGAATTAACCACTCCGGTTGAGATAGGCATTTAACAAGACCATCATCGGGGTGTTTGGGTCATTTCTATTTGAAAATATTTATATTTTATGAATGAACCTTGTTGACTCTGTCGAGCTGTCGACAAAGGATCATGTTTCATAGGCTTTATGCCTTTATTAGTGAATTATCATTGTTATAAGCCTTGAAAGCCTAATATGAATATATTAAGATAAATATATCAGTCGTTGCAACCGTATATTTGTTTGATGGTTTGAACCCTATCGACTTCTATTGATCCGCATAAAAGGATTGGGTTCGAACTTGAATTCACTTATTGACCCACGTAGCATCCCTAGACGTCACATGTGTATCCGTAACACGCTCGTCGGAGCTCATGCGAGTTTATGGGGGCATTTTATAATTAAACTTTGTCGACTCCTTTTTATCTACTTACGAGGATCGGGTTCAAATTTAATTACATGCACAGCATCCCTAGATGTCACATGTGTTCTCACAACATACTCGTCGGGGCCCATACGAGTGAATGATTTTATCGATGAATTTTTCTTATACAGGAGCCTTGAAGGCCTAATATGATTGTATAAAATTAATATCCCGGTCGACCTCGTGACCGCATATTTAATTAATGGTTCGAACCGTATCGAGAAGGATCGGGTTCGAACTAAAATTCATCATTTAACCCGTGCAGCATCCCTAGACATCACGTGTGTATCGAAAACATGCTCGTCAGGGCCCATGCGGTATTGATTTTACTTGCCTCTTTCGTGTACATATATGTATACAAACTATGGTGCATATGCGGGGCACTTTGAAATATTTGTAAACGCCTATTGTCCGCTTACATGGATGTTATGAATCCGGTGGCGTGGCGTAGCAGCTTCTGAATTAACTTGTTCACTGCTCTGTACATGTAGATTGTCATGCACTACTTGTTGCTTTCTGCATGTGAATTGTAGTGTAGTAATGAATCTCCTGCTTTTGCTTACAGGTGGATCATGGCATTGTCATCAAATTGCCATAGGAATCCTCTTTGTTTTGATGTAGACTCCCTTTTCTCATTCATCGGGAGGTCCTTCTGAACTTTGAAATCAATGACCGCTGCTTTGAAAAAAAACTTCTTTTAAGATCTTCAGTGTAGTAGGCTTGTTATTTCTGGTGTTTGTGGATGCCAGAATTATTTTCTTCCTAAGTATAGGACCAAGAAGAAATTTTGAAACACCAAGAAGTTTATTTCGAATTTGTTCAAACATCTATCCCATTCTGCCGGAAGAAGGGTGCCCTTCTCATGGGAGGATTATGTCCCGAGAAGGCACTTGTACTCCTTGTTTGAACAACGTCGGCAAAGGCGATACCATAGCACTATCAGTGTGCATGATATATTGTCTCGTAATACCAAACTTTAAAGATCATTTGTATTTCCAAGGACCATAGATACATAGATGTTTTCTCTCAGACAAAAGGCAAGGAAGAAACTTTGTAACACTAGGAAGTTCAGTTCAAATTTGTTCAAACATCTCTTCCATTCTGTCAAGAGATGCCCTTCTCCGTACATCGAGTTGTCTTCATACCCGACATACTCGCAAATCTTAATCACCACTGTTATAGGTGATATTTGCATTTGTATTCATAGTGGTTCGTTGTGCCTACTATATATCCACTGTTATTATCCACAAGCGGCTCGTGTGTATTTACGGGGGCCCGCTGTATTCACTACGACTTCCTGGAGGTGTTCATAGAAGAGACATTATTCCTGCATCATATTCACCTTTCACTAATCTCAGGTGGTATGACGATTGTACTTGTTTGTAGAGGCGGGTTTTCCATAATTAAGTGCTAGTATTTTCATCTCAATCTACAGGCATTGTTGATTGTGTTGGAGATCTCAATAGCGCATATAGGACACACATATGCATTCTACAACCATTTGTTGTTCTTGCAGGTAGATGCACTTGATCTAGTAGAGACTATTGTAAGAGTCCATTACATTCTTTGTTTGTATGCATCGAGGTCTTGTAGCGTACCTACTTGTACCTCGATGTTGGTTATAAGGATGTTGCAATATCCTTCCTACAAGAGCTCACAGTCGTTTGTATTTGTTGCATCTTAGTCACATTTATTTGCGAAGATTAATGCATTTTATCCAACATTGAGTCACTATTGACCATACAAATGTTCTTGTAGTTTGAGTTCTCTCGTATAAGATTCAAGCTTTATTCTTTGTATATGTTTGATTCCAAGTTCAATTTCATTTAGACACAAATTCATCAAGTCTACAACTCTCACTTAATGTTGTATAGTCCGAGTTCAAGTGTGAGTTCAAGTGTTTGTTCAGAGTCTTCTAAAGTCTTTGCAAGTTCAATTGCATGTTCAAATTGATTTGAATTTGGCTTCAGTCTGATCTTATTTTATTTGGGATTAGTCTTTTATTTTAAAATTTGTTTAATTTCAGGTCCTCATGTCCACTGTTCATTTGAGTCCAAATCAGGTCCGAGTGCAGTCATATGTTCACCCGAAATTTCGGTAACCTCCCGGCGTCTCCCACATTTAGGAGAAAAATACAAAAAACTGGGCCTCCCGCCATGCTAGAGAAAAGCATTTACGAGAGGCGTGTATGGGTACTTCAGTACCTGTTCCAAAAGAGAAGCAGTTGTTTTCCCGCATATACAGAGCCGCGTACGGGTACTTAAGATTATCCTGGCCACGCTAAAAAAAGCATGCACCGGGCCTACCCGCCTCGTTGTAGGTGTCGCACCGGGTCTCCTTCCCACCACGCTAGAGAAAAGCGTGTATGAGTGGTTTGCCGACTCGACACAAACGCCAAGAATAGGATTTTGGGTCCAAAGGCCATTCACCTATCTCATCGTAGGTGTCGCACCGGGTTCCCTTCACACCACGCTAGAGAAAAACATGTATGGTAGG